ATAAATCCACATTTTTTAAGACCTTCTGATCAAAATTGGCTTCTAGCCGTGAGAGATGAAAACGTAGATAATGTCAAGACAGAATTTTGGCCACCGGAACGGGTTCAAAACGAGCCACGATCTTCAAGTTATGAATTTTTTAGCGCATAAAAACTGCACTTTCAGCACACTTTTTCACCATATTTCTTCGAGAAAACTCACACATTCGGATACATTCTTTAAAGAATTGACTCTTGAGCCGAACCTGAATTTGAAAATACGTTATCAGAGATATCTTGGCGAAAGAATACCTGAATATGACGCGCCGGGTTGGACTTGTGAATTTTTCTTGAAATATTTTGAGAAATATGGGAGGGCAAATTTTGGGGTACAACACTAAGATAAAGTGGTTATGCTTTAAACAAGCTTGCTTTTGACTTTGTGGATGTAGTGTGATCATAGGGAACAAGTTAGAGGCTCAGTAATGGACTTTATGCAAAAAGCTCGCTTTACAAGAATGGCAATGTTAACTTTGTGCCATTAATGGAAATGCAACTTGGATAATAGCTCAATTGCTTGGATCAAAGCCCTAACAGCTGTGTAAACATTTAATTATGGAGTGACAAACAAGTTTGAGGCCTTCAAAGCAAAGATTATGCATCCTAACATGGATTTGGTTCATGTGTTCATCCAAAAATGACTTGTAATTCAAGTGATGAAACCCTAACTTCATCTCTTCGATTCTCCCTACTCAAGAATGATCTCAAGGAGTTATTAGACATTTTGGAAAGCTTGAAATGTGCTCTACAATCCATCTTTGAATTTCTTTTGAAGATTCACCTTAGAACTATATGAAAAATTTCCATGAAGTTGGGTCAAAATCCTGACCAAATTAGGACAAAATTTCTAAGTGTTTAGTTTCATGACCACATGTTCATAAAATTATAACTTGAGATCCAAGCATTTTTAGAATGAGTTGTGTAAATAAAAGTTGTAGATTTCATGGAGATCTACAACTTTCATGTTGGAAGTTTCTCTTGAATTATCTTGCATCATGGTGAAAATTTTGCTCCAAGTTATAAAAAAACATGAAATTTCCAACACTTAGAAAAATTTCCAAGTTTAGAAATTTTGACTTTTCAAAATGAAATCTTGACTTTTTGATTTCTTGATGAATAAATTTCATATTTTGACATGTTTTGATGAATTGTGATTTTTGGCACTTGAATTTGACCAAAAATTTAAAGTTTGACTTTTGAGTATACAATTGACTTTTGATCAGTTGACTAGAAAATTCATTTGTCAATCTAATGGACTTGCAATGTTTTGAACCATGTCATTAGGTAAAAATGATGCAATTGGATTCTTGAGATCATACCTTTAACCAATTGACCATTTGCTAGGTTAAAAATCAGAAATTGCCCTTTCCCAGTCAAAACCCTAATTTTGACCATTTTGCCCTTTTGGAGATTTGATCAAATTTCTTGAGGAGTTGTGGTCCAAAATTGATAAAATGATACATATGAGTTTAAAATGTTGATATGGATAAAAAATTATGAAGTTTGACTGTAAATTGGCCATGGTTGACTTTTTCCCCAATACAATTGATTTTTAGGTTAACTGCTCAATTGATTGAGCAAAAGTGTGATTCAAGGTTTGAAACTTCACATGAGTAATCTTGGGGGTCCATAATGATCCATGAAAGTCATATGGGGCATTGGAAGTTCAAAAATCCTTGTGCAAACTCAAACTCTAATTTTGATCATCAGTGCTTAAGGAGGCGGTCTTGAGCTGATCAAACCCTAGTGCAGTCTTGAGCCTAATGAGATCTTGTGAGCAAATTCTTGATAAGTGAGAGGGAAAATTTTGGGTTACCACAGTGTCCTACTAAGATATTAAAGAACAAGGTTCCTGCAGAAGTGTGGAGTGGCAAACGACAATCAGTAAGTCATTTGAGGGTATTTGGCTCTGTGTGTTACAAGCATATTCCTGATGCGAGAAGAAGAAAGCTTGATGACAAAAGTGAATCTATGATTCTGGTAGGATATCATAAAATTGCTGCATACAGGCTATTTAATCCAATTAATGATAAAATTGTGTTGAGTAGAGATATTTTTATTGCTGGAAATTCTGCCTGGGGTTAGAATTCTAGCAATTCAATTAATAAGCCATTAGTGAGTTTTGATTTCGATGAAGAAACTGATGAAGTAGAGGTCGAAGGAATTGTTGAGAATTCATTCAAAGTCAAAGAAGAAGTAGTTGCTGACATTCCCGACACAATCGAAGTCGAAGAGGTTGTGGCTGAAACAAGCCAAAGACCTCAAAGAAATAGAGTTCTTCCAACAAGACTTCATGATTATAAAGTGGTGGGTGATGATAAAGTCACACCAGATGGAGAATTAGTTCATTTTACTTTACTTAGAGGTGTTGAACCAATTAACTATAAAAAAGCTTTGAAGACTAAATAGTGGAAGTTATCTATGGTTGAAGAGTTACATGCAATCTAAAGAAACAACACATGGTAGTTATTCGAATTGCAAGCACATACAAAAGCTATCGAAGTAAAGTGGGTATTCAAGTTGAAACATAATGTTGATGTCTCAATAACAAGACATAAAACAAGATTAGCAGCTTGAGGGTTTCTTCAAAGAGAAGGACTCGACTACTCTGAAGTATTTGCTCCAGTAGTAAGATTGGAGACTCTTTGACTAGTGGTAGCATTGGCATGCAACCAAGGCTGGTCGACATTTTATTTAGATGTGAAATCAGCATTTCTGAATTGTCCTTTAGAAGAAGAGGTCTATGTAACACAACCTCCGGGGTTTGTGATCCAGAAGGAAGCGAGTAAAGTATATAAGTTGCACAAAGCGCTCTATGGATTCAAGTTGGCACCTAGGACATGGAACAAGAAGATCAACTCATACTTAGTCGAATTGGGACCTGTCAAATGCAAATCTGAGTATGGTGTCTATGTTCAGGTTGTAGCACAAGATATAACAATCATCTACTTATATATCGATGACTTTCTAGTAACTGGAAATAGCTTGGAGAACTTGTCGAAGTTCAAAGAACTGATGATGAAGGAATTTAAAATGATTGATCTGGGAAAATTGTCTTATTTCTTAGGTATAGGATTTTAAATGTCGAAGTATGGTATGATGCTACATCAAAGGAAGTATGTCAAAGAAATACTCAAGATATTCAAAATGGATGATTCGAATCCTGCATCCTCACCTGTCGAACCAAATGTAAAATTGGAGAAGAATGTAGAGGAAGACAAAGTCGATGCAACTTTGTTCAAGCAAATTATGGGATCTCTGGGGCATGTGTGCAACAGTCGACCTGATATAGGTTTCACTGTAGGATTAGTAAGAAGATATATGAGTGAATCAAGAGTGTCACATATGAAGGATGCAAGAAGAATCCTGAGATATTTGAAGGATTCGATAAACTGTGGAATACTATTTCGACGAGATTTTGAAGACAAAGAAGTAATAGTTAATTGTTTTTCAAATGTTGATTGATGTGGAGATAAGGAAGATTGAAGAAGCACAACTGGATATTTCTTTCATGTATTTGGTGCCCCAATCTCATGGTGTTCGAAGAAACAACCTGTTGTGGCATTATCATCTTGTGAAGCTGGATATATAGCAGGATCCTACGCTGCATTTCAAGCAATTTGGATCAGATCTGTACTTGAAGAAATGAAGGTCGAAGTGAAGAAACCTCTTGTATTGCAAATCGACAACAAGTCAGTCATAAATCTGGTGAATATTCCAGTTCTACATGGAAGAAGTAAACATATTGAAGTAATGTTTCACTTCTTGAGGGAAAAGGTAAATCGAGGTGAACTTGAAGTAAGACATTGCTCGAGTGAAGCACAATTGAGCAACATTTTCATTAAAGGATTGAAGATTGACAAATTCTTAAATTTGAGAAAGAAATTAGGAATTGTTCAAATTGACTATTTTTGAGGATGTTCGACAAATTAGATTATGAGAGTGTGTTGAAATATTAAATTAAATTTGTTAAAATATTAGATTAGATTAGATTTAATTAGATTTAATATTTAAATATAATCCAAGTTGTGTAGACCCAAATTCAATTATGATTGTATATCATTATTTGTACAATTGAATAATATAAATTCTTATTTACTTTATTATTCATTCTTTTTCTTCTCACTAAAGTGTCTTACGCACTAACAGACTTTTCGTGATCCGTGCGAACACTTGAGTCTTTTATTAGTATTGTATAAAACAATTTACAATTTAGTACACAATTTTTTCTTATAATAAAAAATTGAAGGAGTATATGTTTTTTAAATTATTTTCATCAAAAATGATAAATCTCAATTGTGTATTTCATGAATCTTTTAATCAAAATTCAAGTTATAATAACGTGCTCAGTACTCGATGGACGTCGCAGCAACCTGAATCGCAATTTAAAATCACAAAGGAGGGAAGGAGAGGATCCAAAGACATCTTTAGACAAAAACCAAAAATGGTTTTCTCTTCACAATCGTATATGTGTGCGTTGTTAACAACTTCTTAGGACCACATAGTGTTGGAATGAAACTGCATAGTCATGAATTTCCCCCAAAACTGTTAAAAAAACATGTAGAACTTGCAGCAGTACTTTTAACCAATCAAAACAAGACAAAATTCCTTGACTGGAATCATGCCTAACAAAGTAACAAAAATACCGTGATATTTTAGCAAAGTGTGCGTGACGTATTGTGTGAAATGATCTCTTAGTATTGGTTGTGTTCGGACAAAACAACAATATTCCCAAACCTTCAATGACTATTCTGTGTGCATATGGATCTAACTAGCAAACAGAAAATGACAGATGATAAATGTTTGGCACCATTCCTCATAAACGTTGACGCTACTATATACAACTAACCTTTGGCGATGCCTTCAATGTTCATATAATCAACCTTCTACAAAAACCCCCCAACACAACAACACATTCCAACAACAACAAACCTTGTCTCTCTTCTCTCTCTCATTGTAACCATGTCATCGTCATCATCAGTAACACCGATTCTGAAAGATGAACTGGACATCGTGATTCCTACGATAAGGAACCTCGACTTCTTGGAACAGTGGAGACCATTCTTCCAACCATATCATCTCATCATCATACAAGATGGTGACCCTGCTAAAGTCATCAAAGTCCCTCAAGGCTTTGATTATGAGCTTTACAACCGTAATGATATTAACCGAATTTTGGGTCCTAAAGCTTCTTGTATTTCTTTCAAAGACTCCGCTTGTCGTTGCTTCGGTTTTGCCATCTCCAAAAAGAAATACATCTTTACTATTGATGATGACTGCTTTGTATGTCTTCTTCACCTCTCTTTCATTAATAATTATTGATTCACTTTGTTTGTTTGATGTTATTGCTAGATTCTTCCTAGGTTTGAGATATCTTTGTTTTTGTTTTTCAGGTTGCCAAAGATCCATCTGGCAAAGAAATTGATGCTTTGCAGCAGCATATTAAGAACTTGCTGACTCCATCAACTCCATTTTTCTTCAACACTCTGTATGATCCATATAGAGAAGGTGCAGATTTTGTCCGTGGATATCCGTTCAGTCTTCGTGAAGGTGTCCCAACAGCCGTCTCTCATGGACTATGGCTTAACATTCCGGATTATGATGCTCCTACTCAGCTTGTCAAGCCTCTCGAAAGAAACACTAGGTATTTGTTTTGGTATCGCCTTCAAATTATAATCGGTGTCTACGTGTAAGTATTGTGTCCGGTGTCTATGACTGGGCAAGTGCTTCATAGGTTGTAGCAGTCTAAAATACTGATCATTTCTTGTTTGTTGAGGTGATATACTGATATGTTATTTTACTTGATTGTTTTTCTTCTTAGGTATGTGGATGCTGTTATGACAATACCAAAGGGAACCCTCTTTCCCATGTGTGGTATGAATTTGGCATTCAACCGTGATTTGATTGGCCCTGCATTGTACTTTGGACTCATGGGTGATGGCCAACCTATCGGTCGCTACGATGATATGTGGGCTGGCTGGTGCGCCAAGGTATTCCAAATTTCTATTCTTTTAAATCAATCATGTTATACATTGTGCTCAAATCTAGAGCTTTTCATATTGATGATGTAGGTGATAAGTGACCATTTGGGACTAGGAGTGAAGACAGGTTTGCCTTATCTGTGGCACAGCAAAGCTAGCAACCCATTCGTGAACCTTAAGAAAGAGTACAAAGGAATTTTCTGGCAGGAAGAATTGATACCATTTTTCCAATCTGTTTCTCTTCCAAAGGAATGCACAACTCCTCAGAAATGCTACATTGAACTCTCCAAAAAAGTTAAGGCAAAACTTGGATTGGTTGATGACTATTTTAACAAGCTTGCTGATGCTATGGTTACTTGGATTGAAGTTTGGGATGAACTTAACTCTTCTGAAGAAAAAACTCTTGCATTGCCTAATGGTTCGGAAAAGTAACAACTTGTTATGCGGGGCAGAGGATATGACTATAATTATCAATTTACTTTCTTTCTTTTTGTTTCTTTTGTTAGAACAGTAATGAAGTTTGAATGTGTCTTTATTTGTATTGTTTTATATCATTTCTTCGGATTATTTGACTACCGATAAATTTCGAATTTAATAGTGAGATTATTGCTTTTGGGAATGTGTTGCCAAGTTTGAAGTTTTACCTTTGATCGTTAATGTATTGATCTTCAATTGCTCAATTTTTCAATTAAGCATTCAATATCTTTCTTTGAACACGTTCGATAACACTCATCCTAAGACTGCTTGGAACATGTACTAGTAAACGGTTTATTTAGTCCTGAAGTTGTATATCTTAATTTCATATTTTAGTTTGGTCCCTTATGTAATAAAGGTTACAAATAAGTCTCTTAATAATATTTCTGTTAACTAATTTGGTCTATTCCGTTAATTTGGTTGTAAAAATATTAAGTTGGCTGATGTAGCATGACAACAAGGATATGTATGTATTTGTGACTCAGCATATGTATTAAAAAACAAGTTTTTATTTAAATTGCGGGGGTTTTGTTTTCAGAGGTTAAAAATCTCCGCAAATTGTTAAAAATGTAAAAAAAAATAATCAATTGTTCTGCTGTAAACTTCTAAAAAAAGGGCCATTTTAATACTTTTGTATATTATTATGCACATAGCCAACACAAAGAAACCAACAAAATAAGTTATACAACAACTTTATTTTCATATCACATTAATCAAATAAAGTATAGAAAATATCATTCTAAATTCACCCTCAAACATTATTAACTACACATAAAATTTACACAGTATATAGAAAAATGATTCTCCAGCATAATCAAAATTATATTCTTCACAGATAACTTCACCGAGTAAAGCTGCTTTGCTTTGTCCATCTGAAATCATAAAAAGGAAGATTACTTTGAATGTGTGATATTGTTGAAATTATTAAAGTCTTCGAATACATTCCTGCTCCTTCCTTGTTGTATCCCTCCCTCAGTAAAGTCTTCAATTGCGTAAAATAAATGGCATCACCACACTCACTATGCAAAAACTGCTTTTAGACAGCACATTTTAGACAACGCTTCTAAACTAAAGCGCTGCTATATATCGCGATAAAATTTTAAAAAAACGCTACCTAAAATTAAGAAGAAGCGCTGCCTAAGCCACACTTTAGGTAGCACTTTATGAAAGCTCTGCTTAAGGTCAATTAAAATTGAAATAAAAAAAATAAACTCTAGAAAATGCTGCTTAAATTCAAAGTGCTGTTATAGGTCCAACAGTAAAAAACGCTGTCATAGGCCCAAAACGCACCGCTAAAGGCTTACGTTAAAAAGCGCTTCTATAACTTTAAAAGAAATTTAAAAAAAAAAACGTTGCTAAAGTCCTACTTTATAAAGCACTTTTAAGTTGAACTAATTCCTCCATAATTGAGGACAACAAAATCCACAAAAGTCACACTCAATACCTCCATAATACAACATAAACTTGCTTACAAAAAATATCAATGAAAACCACCTTCAGTTTCCTTCCTAAAAGCTACAAGCACAAAGAATTGCTTTAAAACAAAAAGAATTGTTTTAGCTATTTGATGTGATATTATCTCCACTATTAGCCATGGCCAAACTATGATTCATATTCTAGTAAAAGTTCAAAGGTTATAGGCCATCCATCCATCCAATCCAACAACGAATGTCAGAAGAGCAAGCGAGATGGGCTGAAATGGTTATAAAATGCATATAGTCATAATATGTAGATATGAATTTATAACAATTAACAAGTATAAAAAATAATTACTAATGAAATAAATAAAATAGAAGATAATTTACTGATGAAATAAATAAAATGTCATATCAAGCTAAACCCACATCTTTAACTTAATCTTTCCCGCAACATTTTTATTTAATTTATTATCAATGAAATAAAAAAAAAAGTTAATTTAATATCAAAGAAATAATAGAAAAATTGACAAAGAAGCGAGCATATATTAAAAAACACTAACACAATCAAACATCACAATAACCTACTTGTCTAACGCTTCAAGAAAGAAGATCTTTATTGGGTATCTCTTGTTATCTAAAGAAAAAAAAAATCAGATTATTGTTCAAACCTTCACAATCAAAAATTTAAATACACAATATAAATTATCAGATCAATAAATAAATTCAATAAATTAGATTTTTTTTTTCATGAAAGTAAATGTACCAGTAAACTGAATCCTTAAATTTATCTTCATCTAGAAATTGAAGTATAAGAAAAAACAGTTCTCTGCTAAAAAAATACATGATGCTGACACCTGGAAGATCTAAAACCCTAATACATCAATAGGGTTTGAGCATAGATGGCGTGGCTGAGCAAATAACGCTTTCTTCCGTAAGAATCACACCAAAAAAAAAGGAAAAACAAAGAGTTTGAGAATAATAAGAGCTTAAGAAGAAGGAATAAGTGATAAAAATAGAAAGAGATAGAGAGTGTGAAGCGGAGAACATCAATAGATTTTTTTGTCTCATCTGAAGGTGAAAGGAAGGGTGCGATGGAGAAACGGCGAGACAACCATGTCAAGGGTTTCTAAATTTTATTTCTCTTTAAAACAAATGAAATGTTTAATCTGAGTTTTTTTCTTCCATTTTCTTAAAGTAAAAAATAAAATCCGTGTCAGATAATAAAATTCCAACTAGATTGCCAAATATGCTCAATTTAACGTTATTTTATAAAATTTAATGAAAATTACTAACTTGATTAACATAATGATTTTCGAGAGATTAAAAGTGAACGTTTATTAATTATGAAACGAAAGTGAAATATTAAATTAAATTAAGGAATTAAAAGATATATTAAATCATTAGTAAAGTATCACTTTTTTAATTAGTTTGTCCAAAGATGATCTATATTAATGATATGTCTTAGTATGTTTTAATGCATCTGAAAAGAGTAACAGGAATTGGATGAATGTTCATCGTGATTTAATTAGGGAGGTAAATAACCACATAAGAATTATGTGCAACTTTATGGGTCTTTGAGATGAATGCAACATCTCATGAGTACTTAAACTTTTGGACGAATTGGTGCCACTTTACTTGTTTCCAAATGGATGAGTTTTTCTAGAAATTGAACATGGTTATTACAACCGCCTATAATAAGGTTTTAGTTGAGTTGATGAGACTTGGATTCCCCATACACATTTTGAGCGTTGCACCATGAGCTAGGCAATATGGATTTACGAGTAATATGCACTGGTTGGATTTTCAAAGAACAACATCTTGTTCATGTTACACTTCCACCTTATAATCTCACCAACCTTATTATGTATTTCTGAATAATATATTGTATTTTTTTCATAGTATATTTGAAAGGAGGATGTTTGCTACTTGCCTCGCATGTAGAATGGATAACGCGTTGCAAGTCAAAATAGAATGAGAGTTTCAACTTTTTAGAGCTAACTTATAAAAAAGAGTCATGCCTGGATTCACATTATACGTCGTTTATTTTTAATTATTAAATTTGAACTTATTTTTCAATTGATTAACATTCTCATAGAATCAAATATAAATTATTTGTTGAATGATTAGAATAAGTCAAATGCAGTGTAATTGGTTTTGAAGTGTTTTTGGAGAATAGCTTATTTGAGAAGCTATTTTGGAAAAGCTGCCAATATGCTGCAGGAAACCCTGTTTTGTTACTTTGTTTAGTGTTAGCAGGCACTATATATACATTTTGTAACATGTTGAATGGAATTAATGCCGTATGATTTTTTACCCTCTCAATTAATCTCTATTCTCTCTAAACTTGATCTTCCCCAATCCTCTAATTTCACCAAAATTATCCATCATCTCCATTGATTCACATACAAGGTTTTGTGCTTGTTCTAACATTTGGCATCAAGAGCATTGGTTATTGATCCCAATCCGCTACAACACCAACAATGGCTACCGTTTCCAATGATCAAATTCCCACCAATCTCCCAATTCTTGATTCGAAGAACTACGACAAATGGGCGAAACAAATGAAGGTTCTGTTTGGTTATCAAGAGGTTCTTGAGATCGTCATCAATGGAGTTACACCATTAGGGGCAGATGCTACCGATGCTCGTAGGGCTACACACAAGGAAGAAAAGAAAAAGGATTACAAAGCCCTATTCTTGATTCACTCTTGTGTTGATAACGACAATTTCGAGAAGGTTGGTGATTGTGAATCCGCGAAGCAAGCATGGGAAATCTTGGAGAAAGCGTATGCCGGTGCCGTCAAAGCGAAGGTGGTAAGGTTACAAACTTACAAACGTCAATTCGAGTTAACGCAAATGGAGGACAAAGAAACGATCAACAATTACATAACGCGCATTACCCGGTTAGTCAACCAAATCAAGTCATGTGGCGAAACGATCCTTGAGCAAAATGTTGTATCGAAAGTGTTGCGTTCGTTAACATCACGTTTCGATAACATTGTTGTGGCTATTGAGGAGTCAAAGGATCTAACAACTTTGAGTAAAGATGAGTTGCAAAGTTCGTTAGAGGCGCATGAACAAAGGATGGATGAGAGAAGTGCCGACAAAGCCAAAGTGGAGATCGCTTTGCAAGCGCGTTTACATGAGAAGAACAAGAGATCGAAAGGGAAGTGGACTTCAAAAAATAAGAAGAATTTTGGTGGAAAAGATCCACAAAATTCAAAGGGTGAAGGAAGCTCCAAAGATGGTAATCAAAGCGCCCACAAACCGTTTGACAAAAGTTCTGTGAAGTGTTATAATTGTCAAAAGCTTGGGCATTTTGCGAAAGAATGTCGCTCAAAACGCAAGGAAAAGGATGCGGATGAGGCGAAGGTTGCTAGGGAAGAGGTAGATGATGAATATACCCTTCTTGTGATGATTACGGAAGAGAATTATGGCATTGTTGATGTTCCGGGCAGCAGCTACTGTGATGATAGTGTGTGGGACAGCAGCTGTACTGTTTTGGAAAGTGGCGAAAAAATGTGTTCGGATCGAAATGCAT